GTCTTTTCTCTGTAAAAATTGAATCAACAATTAATAAAGATCACAATTTGAGAAGTGCCTCGCAAAAAAAAAAAAAAGATTTTTATAATAAAAATAAAGAAAACATAAAGAACTTTTGAATATTAAAAAATAAAAAAATATTTGTTTCTTTAATTTTAAGAAAAATACTATATTTATTATCAAATTTGTATATTGTTTTTAAAAAAATTTTTTTATTTTAATTTAGTTAATATTATTTTTTTTAAAAAAAATCAATTAAAATTTCTTAAATTAAATAATAACCTTATATGTTATTAATAATAAAATTTATATCTTATAATTACAAAATATAATATTTATATTACTGTATAAAATTTTAAAATTTATAAAAAATTATTTAAAATAAAAGAATAATTTAAGAATAAAAATAATAAGTTTAAATAATTTTGTTAACAATTTAATAATTTTATTTAGCTTATGATTTAATAACTAATTAATAATATTATATTATATAATATATTTAATATTTAATATTTAAATTTAAAAATATATTATTTTATTATAATTATATTATTAAAATTTGAAATAAAATATTTTTAATTGGTTTTATATTCGTTAAAAAAATTTATTAAATAAAAACTAGTTGTTAATTTTATTTATCCCTTAAATCATAGGATATTTTTTTTATAACATTTAAAATTTTTTAATTAAAAAGTTGTTTCTTATTTATTTTTTTAAATAATGAAAATATTTTTCTAAAAAAATTTTTTTTTTTTGTAGATAAACATCATTAATATTTTTTAAAAATTTAAATAATATTAGTTTTAATTGTATATTACTTATTATAAGAGAGACAAAAAAATTAGATAAATTCAACATATATTATTCTTGCCCAATTAGGATTTAATTGGGACTTGAAGGATTTTAAGAATTTTATAACATGTATATAAAGAAAGAAATTTACAAGAAACAAAACAACAATAAAAAACAGTTCTTTTTATCATAAAACTTAAATTACTATCTAACACTTTTACTTATCTTATATTATATCTCCATGTCTCTTCTGACATTATATGATTGGCAATCGCAATATAGTGACAGATTCACCATTACAAACTTTCAACATTATTGATAATATTTATTTTTTATTTATTTAATAAATATTTAAAGTTTAATTATAATCAAAAATTTTAATTTTTAAAATTATTTTTTTTACTTAAAGTTGATCTTAAACAAACTTAAAAATTTTTAAGTTAAAGTTTATATAATTTATAATCAGTTTTGTGGAATTATTTATAACAATAATTTTATTTATTTAATTTTTTTTTGTAGATAAACATTATTTCTTTATTTATTTGTATAATTATAGATATATATTGTAAAAGAAACAATATCTTTCATATGTATTAGTATAACAAGTTAAATGCTAGTTTGCTTACAGTAACTACTAGACTAATATTAAAAAGAAAATTTAAAATAATATATCTTGTTAAGCAGCTCTGAGCAGTTATAATTACTTACTTAATATTGAATAGAAAAAAATTAGTAAAATTGAATCTACTTTGAATATAGAAGTTAGCTACCATAGTAGGTACATCTATAATAGTTGATATTAATGTGAAGTTGTTAATGGAGTTTAGTTTTGGCTAGATTTTTGATAGTTTGTTTTGTTATGTTACTATGAAGGTTATTGTTTCATTTGATATCAATAAGGAGAATGATATTTGCTATGACATAGTGTAAAATATATATATATACTATATATATTTTTATATTATTAATTTTTTTATTTTGAGTTTTTTAATATATAACTTATTGTTTTTTTTTTGAAAAGTTTTTTTTTGTTATAAATTTTTTAGATATATTATATATTTAATAATTTTTTGTTAAAACCATAAGATTTTTTTTTTTAAAAAAAAAAAGAACTTATTATTAAAAAAAAACATATGAATTTTATATAAATAATCTTTAAAATATCCGATTTTTTGTTGTAAAAGAATAATTCTTTTTAAATATATTTTTAATTTAGATTATAATGATATCAAATTTCTATATTTTTAATATGTAATTATAATTTAATAAAAAAAAATAGGTTGTTTATAAATTTTAAATTAAAAATATTAAATCAATAACATAGAGATTAAAACATTTATTTATTTATTCCATCTGCATTTCATTTTAAAAAATAGATTTATAAATTTTTTTACGAATTTACAATCATTATTTATTATATAACCTGGTATAAAAGTTATTCATTTTTTTTTAACCTATTATTTAATACTGGTCTGGAATATCACGTGAATAACTATTCTTCGTTAAAAAATAACCATGGGTAACAAGTTTATGATAAGTTAAAGCGATCAATAAAGGTGATAAATAAATACACATAAAATAGATATTTTATCTTGCGATGATAGGTAAAAAAAAGTAAAATTATAAATTGTTAACGATACGTTAGCGTTGGTACTGATTTAATTTTGGTTTTAAATGTACGTACGATAAATACAGTAAATAATTAATCAATTGCTTTTAAATTTTTTATTTTATTTTATTTTATTTTACAATCACATATAATATGTACAGTATGTATTCCTTTATTTCGTTGACTTTATTATTATTATAACTTTCTATGCCTAAGCAAATAAAATATTTTAATTATTATAAGATACGTATATTATTGGTAGTCTTTGAACTTTGAAGCCCCCATGATTTTATGGAAAACCCAAAATATAAATCCGACAGTCATGAAAACGAAAGAAAGTAGATATCTTAAATAGTATTTTGATTCGCTATTTTCAGTTGGCACGAAAGCACCAATACAGTTAACTACCGTTATTATAAAAAACAAACGAACAAATATTTTTGGAAATTTAAATAACCATTACAAAGTTCTCCTCTTCTTTTTAAGACCTTTAAAATTAATTTTAGATTATTGTAATGTAATTGAGTTGTTTAAAAATTTACAATAATAATATTAACTCTTACCAACAAACCCAGAGCACTGAGGCCGAAGAAGATGAGAGCTGAATACTGAGTCATTGTTACGAGTATTTCGTAAGGATGACTTTTTGGAAAGACAAAAATTATTATCGAGCAGTATAACCATTGAAAAATCAATGCACCAATGGGAGCATCATGGCAACTATCCTCATTTGGGTTATTTTCATCGGGGTCTACTTCAATCACTCGAAATTTTCTTAAGATCTTTTTGATAATTCTAGGACCATTTAGAAATTTTCTTAAAAGTGGCGAGAAATAGGGAATGAGATTGCTATTGGCAGCGGATGCAATAATTCTAGAACCACTCCAAACTATTGAAGCGGTGGCCCTAATTGAAGACAATGCAACTAAGGTCGAAATTCCACGTCTGAAATTAATCGCATCACCTAATGTTGCACTCATCATCTCTTTATAAGTGCCTTTTTGAGCTTCTTTGTGGTCCATTATTGTTATGAAGGAAAGAATGCCGAGTACATCTGAAATATATATATATATTATGGATTAGTATTGGATATACTGTACGTGCAAAAGATAACTGACACAATTAATAAAATATTGGACAAGTAATTCTATAGTAGATATAAGATTCTTACACAATATGCTTACTAGAATAACGCTAAATGGGTTTGAATATTTTAGCCTCTTAGAGACATCATTCATTTCGCCCAAAGAATCTAATAAAATAAAGTTTTTAAAAGTATGTTATCACGATTTTATAGACTCCATAAACGCGAAAAAATTTTAGTAAAAAAGTTACAATTAAGGTTATTCCACCCCTCATAAGCGAATAGGACCTGTAACATGGAAGTACAATAATTACTAAAATAACTTTTCCATCCTTTTGTTTCATAGAACAGAGCATGCCAAGTTAGCTTGCCAGGATTATTTGAAATTTCCATCAATCCAATTATGGAAATAATCAATAATGTCAATGTCTTGAATACAGATAATATTTGATTTATCCACAAAGCCAAACGGTTCGATAACATGTGGTATAAAGTTACAATGGATAATATGAAACAAAATATAATGGATTCGTTGTGATCATTTGGGTTTAAAAAGACTGTGTCGTTAGTCCATGCATAAATTATATATTCTGACGCAAGGATGGTATCTGTTATTATAGCACCGCTATTTCTAAAACAGTGAAGTTTATCGATAAGAATATATTTTCATAAGCAGAAGTTGTATAACAGAACGATAAAATGAGTTATACTCACGTAATAGTACAGAAACTGAATGGGATTCGGAAACGATCGTTCTAGGTAGCTGTTCGCCGCCTTTTTTAAATAATAATAATAATAAATACCTATGGATATGGTTATACGCGTCAAGGAATTTAATTAAAATACCTGATTCGGGGATGTTATTACCGAGCTAATAAATAAAGAGGAAACACATGAGTTAAAAAGTAAAAAACCGAAATTAAAAAAAACATATACCTCGACGTATATAAAACTTCCAGTCAGGGAAAATAAAAACCCAATTGTGCATAAAAACAGGGCCATTCCGCCACTTCCGGTTAAGTACCAAATAAGACCGGGTGTAGAAAATATACCCAAGAACAAAAGACACTTTAAAAACAAAAATAATAATAATGGTTTTCTTTCAATATCTACCACTTCCTATCATGTTGTTCGCGTTCATCCAAAGCCCGGAGAACGTATTGATGGGTTTAGAATCCTCATTATTTACATTATTTTCGATCACGGGGGCCGGCATTATTGTACAGAGAAATGATCAATGATAAATGCAAGTCTAATTTTTTTTAAAGGCAATATTTATCATTTCTCATAAGTTATATAATAATTCTAGATTAACCAAAAGGGACACTAATTTAGATTTTTGATGGACATATTCAGAATTTAGTACGGTGGGTAAATAATGCAATGTCAATAATTAAATCTCTATTTGCTATTTATTTTCGTAAGTATCTTATATTATTTTGATCAAAGAATGTCATAATTACATCATTGTTGATAATTCAATATTCTTTGTCGCAAGATAACGTCAACGATAAAGTATCGAGGAGCACAAGAAATTCGAAAAACATACGAAATCTCATCTGAAACATTGTCAACCAAGGGAAGATATCGAGTATTAAAACACCTGGTGGCAACAGGTTGTATTCCGTAGTGGATGCGGAGAAGATATTTGGAAACCAAGAAAGAATAAATGAAGAGAAAAAGATATGTTACGCACGAGTCAGGCAATGCAAGTACCTCAGGCAAAAATGTCCAGACCACGAACTCATCAAGGACATCGGATCAGGTCTCAACTGGAAACGCAAAGGTTTTACGTCCATTTTGGAACGATCGTACCAAAGAGATATCGAGGAGGTTGTGGTTACCCACAAGGACTGTCTCTGCCGTTTCGCTTTTGAACTAGTCGAATGGATCTTTAGTAAACACGATACAAAGATCGTGGTACTCGTTTCGGACATCAACGTTGATGATACCGAATCCAGTGAGCTTGCCGAGGATCTATTATCAATTGTTACTATCTTTACAGCAAGACACAACGGACTCAGATCAGCTGAAAATCAAAAACGATGAAGAGAGATTGAAAACACGAAAGATATGGATTTATCTAACGCCCGAAGAAAGAGAAAAGCTAATAAAGTGGATGGGAACCGTGAGGTGAACATACAATAAAGTTCTTAAGATGATGCAGGATGATGGGATCACTGACATGAGTGTCATACGAAGGCATTACCTAAACAATGAATGTTTCACACTAAAGAACTTTTATGGGTAAAAGAGACTCCTAGGGAAGTACGTTCATACATGATCAGACAATTAATGAGCGCATATAAAATAAACAAGAAGTTGCACGGAAATAATTTTCGAATGAAGTATCGATCAAAGAAGGGTCGAATACTAATCATCTCAATCCTTGCTAGGGATTGGAATAGGAACAGAAGAGAATATGCGTTTCTAAAGGATATCGTCACTTCAGAACAATCACTAAAGGTTAATAACATGGTGAAAATTACTATGAATCACCTATGAAATTTTTACTTGTGTTTCTGTTCCTCTAGACATTATCGATAACCAAGATTATGTTTGGGAAAAGGTAATCTCGCTCGATCCATGTGTTCGCACGTTTATGATCGGTTACGATAATACCCCACGCATGACGATAGTCATGAAGATTAAGTTTCATAATATAGAACGTGTGTGATCACGATTCCACGTACGTGTCTAAATACATCACATTTAGTTCTAAATAATAAACCGATATTATATCTGGTGTAACCCTTGAAATTGAATCCAATATGAATAAATAAAGTTAGTCTTTACTATGCATATCGTATCCCAT